TCTGGTAGCCCTGGATCACCTGCTACATCTGGCACATCTGGAAACCCTGGATCACCTGGTACATCTGGTACATCTGGTAGCCCTGGATCACCTGCTACATCTGGCACATCTGGAAACCCTGGATCACCTGGTACATCTGGTACATCTGGAAACCCTGGATCACCTGGTACACCTGGTAACGCTGGAACATCTGGTTCACCTGGAACATCTGGAACATCTGGAACATCTGGTAGCCCCGGATCACCTTTTGTATCTAGTGTCTCCAGTTCTGGTTCAACTGAACCGGGAAGTTCAGCTTCGGGTTCAGTCTTTTCTGTTCCTCTGAGCACAGTACCAGCTATTGCAACTTATGGAAATAGTGGTTCCTACCTTAAGGCTTCTAATGGCATTAAATTAATTGCCGTTTTCTTCGCTTTCTTACTTTAGTGAGCTAGCTTTTTACTTTCTTATTTGATAAATTACGTTATTTTCGTTTTTCATATTGTTGCAAGCAAAATATGCTTTCGTCGTTACATGAAAATTCTCTTCTATGACTTTATACCCTTCTACAAATTCTGTTCATATCAATAATATATAATTATATAGCTGTAATACAATGCTCAATAATATATGAATTTCCATATTCTAGACATTCGATGTCTATATATGATGTAAGGAACCCTACTTGGTTTAACGTAGATATTTGATGTACATCTGGACCTAATTTTAGGACTTTCTTTCAAATTATTTTTCTTTGAGGCTTTCTAAAGTACTTCTGAGCCTCTGAGAACACACAGAGATACTTCCAGAATGGTAAAGTAAATTATCCGCGTCAATTCATTACATTTATAGCATATTGGGCATTAATACTTAGGGACATTAGACATATTTGAGTATAAGACTTCGAACCCACTCAAAAGTACGGCCGATAATGGTTACACTATCATATATGTGAATTAAATTTCTTGTATTTAATATTAATTATATTATCTAAATGGTTTTCGCATTAGAAATCACCTAGAATATTGGACGCATGTATATTATGCTGATTTTAGAGCCTTGATGATGAATATGCATCTGTGCTGATGTTGCATTTTTCTCCACACTTCTTTATTATTTCGAGATTAAGATTTTTCGCAGCTAATGATGAGAATTGAGTTTTTGAGTTTTAACAATAGAACATGCTTTAGTGTTGACCTATTTTGAGCTTATTAATAAATGCATTGGTTAAGTAATGTGGAATATGTGCTATGTATTCTTACACTATACTTTCCCAGTAAGAGTTTTGGTTCCATATTGTCGCCAGAGAATAAGCCATACTACCTAAAGCTCTTTACGCAAACTTACCGATAGTCAAATTCGAAAAATTGCCTATATTTAGTAATAGGAAAATAAGAGGACAATAGAAGAATTCGTAATGAGAAAAAAGGTGCTCGTCTCTCTCCTCTGTTTTCCCTTTCAGGGTAGTTCGTGTCTCTTCAGGAAAGTATTAGATTAGGTTAAAATGCAGATTCTACACTATGAGTATAATAGACACGAAAATAAGAAATGCACGAATGTGTCCATTACATTAGGTGATTTCATGAAAAGCTCATGCTGAACGTAAATGACATCAGTCCCTTTGTCACTCAGATAACATCAGTCTCATTTTAGATTAAGAGGCAAAACTAACACTCCCATTATCTATGGTGATCTCTATTCGTTTCTACTCTCGTAAAGTTCAGATTGCACAGGCGAGTCAATAATGCAGCAGAGGCTAAATTTGGTGAACGCATTGTTGCAACAATGCAACTTTCGAGGAGAGCTGCGCAAGATTCTCCAAAGACAAGCTTTTCGTTGAATGGAACCCTTTACGAGCCAGAATTACGCAACAAAGAGTACCAAAACTCTCGTTTTGCACACTAAACCTTTCAATTTGGATATGCCAGAGCCAGGAGAGCATCCTTTCACTTCAAACTGCCTAATATAAATTCAGCTAAAATCCCCCCAAAAAATGAGGTCGAATAAAGGGCCATCAACATTTCTAAGTGCAAAACTTTTGATACCATGAACTTAAAAACTCTTTTTGCTGCTTTTGTTTCTCTAGGCTCGCTTGTTAATGCACAGACGATATCCTCTAACACAGTGACCTATGGATCTACAATACAAATTGGAGATACCATTATTGAACCTGGTGTTTACTGGTCGATTATAAACAGTGCAGTCAACGTTTTCGCAGGTAACGTCGTAGTTAATTCTGGCAGTGGTTTCTTTATTTCTGCTGATAATCCGCTTATTGCATTGTCGATTTCATTTGCAGGAGTTCTCAATGATTTTACCAATAACGGAGGAACCATAGTTTTTTCATCCCAAAATGGTTTAACAGGTCCGCTGTATAATATAATTGCGGCAGCATTCCGTAATACAGGTAATATCTTCTATTACGCTAGTGGAAGTGTATTAACCGCTACGTATAACTTGAATTCAGTTTCGTGGACTAATGATGGTTTAATTGCACTCTACCTGGATGCACTAATTGGTCAGTTCACTACTTTAGGGTCTATTGGCTTTCCTATTCAAAATAATGGTCAAATTTGTTTGCTTAATCAAGTCTGGCAGCAAACTACTGCCGTCCAGGGTTCAGGTTGTATTGACGTTGGTGTTAGTTCAAACGTTTGGATTTCAAATACATTGTTAAGTTTCGATCCAAACCAAACAATTTACTTGAGTACTCCTTCATCCGTTCTTAGAGTTGCATCCTTAGCGTTTGCGCAAACATTCAAAGTTGCTGGATTTGGAGGCGGAAATGTAATTGGATTAGATTTACCAATCACTGGTAGGAGTTATAATGCCGCTACAGGTATCTTAACGCTATCAACAGGTATATTTCCCTTGCAATTATCACAACACTTTAATATTGGGCTTGGTTACGATCCTAATGGATTCTCAACTATCACTTTCAGTTTTGGTTCCTTGTTTCTCCCTACAATCAATAGTGCTGTGACCTACTCCGGTCCAATTCCAGCTGGTTCTACTCTGCACGCTGCTTGCAGACCATGCATTCCAGTCCCAACTATCCCAACAAGTTCAACCTCATCGATTGCATCGTCATCAACTGCACCCCCAGCAAGTTCTTCATCAGTTGAAAGTAGTTCATCAGCGACAAGTTCTTCATTAGTTGCAACTAGTTCATCAGTTTCAAGTTCTTCATCAGTTGAAAGTAGTTCATCAGCGACAAGTTCTTCATCAGTTGCAACTAGTTCATCAGTTTCAAGTTCTTCATCGATTGCAAGTAGCTCATCAGTTACTAGTTCATCAGTTGTAAGTTCGTCATCGTTTGCAACTAGTTCATCAGTTGTAAGCTCTTCAGTTGTAAGCTCTTCATCAGCTATCGCTAGCTCTTCATCAGTTGCAAGTAGTTCAACATCATCAGTGGTAAGTCCCTCATCCATCGCAAGTAGTTCATCATCATCAGTGGCAAGTTCTTCATCGGTAGCAAGCTCTTCACATGTGTCAAGCTCACTGTTTGAAAGCTCTTCATCAGCTATTAGTGGCTCGTCTTCAGTTGCAAGTTCTTCGCTGATCCCAAGTTCATCGTTAGCCCATAGCTCTTCATCAGATATTACTGGCCAGTCATCAGTTGCTACTTCTTCATCGGTTCAAAAGTCCTCTGTCGCTTCTTTCACCTCTGCAACAAGCCCTAGTTTCCAAAATTCGACAGAAGGCAGTACTAAAACTGTTTCTCAATCAACTACATTCGCTGCTGTGACTTCTGAAATAGTAACCACCATATCCAGTTCTGGTCCAGGGTCTGGTCCAGGATCAGGTTCAGGTGGCACTGCAGGTTCAGGTTCAGGTTCAGAAGGTACTGTAGGGTCTGGCTCAGGCTCAGGTTCAGGTTCAGGTGTAGGTGTAGGATCTGGTTCTGGTTCAGGATCTGGTTCTGGTTCAGGTTCAGGATCTGGTTCTGGTTCAGGTTCAGGTTCAGGTGTAGGTTCAGGTTCAGGTTCAGGTGTAGGATCTGGCTCAGGCGCAGGATCGGGCGCAGGATCGGGCGCAGGATCGGGTTCTGGCTCAGGTTCTGGATCAGGTTCTGGATCAAGTTCAGGTTCAAGTTTAGGCTTAGGTACAGCAGGTTCAGACTCGGGCGCAGGTTCAACTCCAGCTGTAGTGACTTATGGAAATAGCGGCTCCATCCTAAAGGTCACCAATAGTATAGGATTATTTGCCATATTTATATCTTTCTTATTTTAAAGGCGACTGCTTTTGTTCGCTTAGTCTTCTTTTCGGTCTTCCACGTACTATACTATGCTTTAATAGGCAGTTAGTCCCCCGTGGATAATATTTTTAACCATTTTAAACCATTCTGTTTAATTATGAGAACAACAATTTCAAATAACAATATATATTCGTAGTTTTCGTGAAAGCTCTAAATAAAATTTTTAAAAATAACACTTAACTTCACATGTATAGTACACGCAAGTAGAAAAACATTACCTAGTTCCTAAAATATGGGTCGGTAGATGCTTAAAAAGCGCAATAAAAACGAACAGTCCATTTGGATACTATACTAAAAAGAGAAAAGTAATCAGTACTTGAGATTTGGAAAATCGCTGTTTCATTGCGATATCATAAACTCATGTACTTGCTTAATGTGTATTAGCGCCAATTAGTTCAACTGAATTGCATAGTAATTTAATTCAGCTTGAGTAGATTATATGCACTACCAATACAGGAAATCTTCATACCCCACACTCTCAAGAAACAGCATCTACGAATAAATCAGATACGCCCAGGTATGGGCCCGCCCGGCATCCATCTAGTGCCATATTTGTTATCGCAGAAGTAAAGAAATATTCATCGAAGGTGACTTATAGTAAAATTTAGCTAAATCTATTTAAGGAGGTGCAAGAACTTTTACGAATCAGGACGTCATAATTTTCAAAGCATTATGTTTTAAATTTTGCTGGGTAGATCTCCTCATGCGTTAAAATACAAGATTTTGGAAAACATACTCAAAATTTGTCTTTTACCTGAGCTCTGCTATACTGACCTACCAGCAGAGAATACATACGATAAAAAGCATGAATAAATCCTTGGCATTGACGTAAACTTCAACAGTTACCATAACTGACAGTTGAATTAGGAGAAAACAAACTTGATGAAATATTATTTGCTGCACTATTGAAAAGAGAAGCATACATTCTTTCAGCCGACTAAATTCAATTAGAAATCTACAATTCAAAGTAACCAAACCAAATTACTAGAAACCTTTCAGATTAGGAATTTTAACTCAAAAATCATAAATTAGAGATGAGGGCCAGCCCTTTTGTCATTAAAATGCTGGAGAATTTTCACATTATGGCCATCGTAAATGCTTCCAACGCAGGATTAAGAGGATATGACATAACTTAAAAACCATCATGCATCCGAAGTGCTTCTGCCAAAGCTTAATTGGCTGGGGGATAATTATTGGGGTTGTAATTTGTAAGCCCTTTTCAGTTTTGTGCTCACAATAACGATCTTTTGTACATGAAAAATTGAAAAATAAGGTTTCGTTTACGACCAGCTGCATGAAAATATGTTCCGGAGATAATTGTTGCAAAATTAGTGAGTGGGCTTGCTGAGCCCCAGATCATATTTACGTGGTATGATACCTAAACTTTGTTCAACTCTAGCTGATTCCATACAACTATTTTTTTGTATCTACAAGGCTAAAATAGGACAGGTTGATGATTTAGTGTTTGAAACTAAGATTTAGGCATAGGCACATATGTGAAAAAAAAGGTGATGTAAATCTTTGGTCGCTAATTTAGCTGCGCTTATGTATACTATTTAATATTAGCAGGAAAGTGACGGCGAAAAGTACCATTTCCTATAGTGATCCGGAATTATTGGATATGATCGCTTGAAGTCGCTAATCGTAAAATAAGCTAATTACGATAGTTACGGAATAAAAATTCGAGAGAAATTTAATTATATTCCTTACCAGTGTCAACTAAATCTAAAAGCTAAAACTTGGTATTCAAATGAAAAACAATAGAATTTTAACTTATTTGTAATAATTTCTATTCAACACATTTAATGTATTCAATAGTATAGTAACTTTAGCTATGGTCCCAACTTTCTAAAAAAAATTCTCCGATGATGGATAGTAGATGTTTCAAAAAAAGTTAGGCGTCATGCAGATGATTTGATTGCAAGGAAAAGAAGTTAAAAAGTTTTTCATTTTATTTCTTTTGTTCTGCTTCAAGATATACCTGCTAATCCGATTAAACAGTTATCCTCAAATTTCTGATATATAAGATGTTTCTTCGCTTGAGAAAGGATTTTTAGATCATCTTGAAGAGATTACAGCAGTGTCACTTTTCAATGAAGATAAATTTAATTACATGTATAATCTTGGTGTTATTTGAAGTCGTACTATCCCAGACGATTAAAAATAACACAGTTACCTTTGGAAGCGTAGGAAGCGTCGGGTCAGTCATAGTTGCAAATAACTCATATTGGTCAATAGTAAACAGTAATGCTGTTAAATTTTTGGGTGATCTTGACATCTTTGGAAGCCTTTTCATCACGTTAAATGATGCGGCTCAATCCTTGTCAGTCTCATTCAATGGAGGACAGAACAATATCAATAATGGAGGAAACATAGTGTTCAATTCAATCTCTTCGAATCTGGGTCCACAGTATAATCTAGCAGTTAATTCATTTCAAAACTTCGGCAATATATGGCTCAATGCACAAGGAAAGGCTCAAGGTTCACTGTTTCAAATAATAGCACCCACATGGAGTAATGAAGGTCAAATATATTTATATCTGAGCCAGGACTATATAAACAACGTACAGCTAGGCACTTCTGGCAATGCTATGAGAAACGATGGTCAGATTTGCTTACAAAATAACCGCTGGCAACAAACAGCATCTGTATCAGGCTCTGGATGTATTAGTCTTGGAGGATCCTCTTCCATACAAATTGGAACTACATTTGATCAAAGTCAGATAATTTACTTCACATCATCATCTGCGACTATGAATATTGGTTCAAGTAGCAATCTGAAATATACTATTGCTGGATTTAGATCTGGAAATTCAATTGTTCAAAGTACTATGGTAACGAGTCTTCTGTATGATCTGAATAGTGGAATAGTAAGCGCTACTTCTTGGTACTGGCCCTTTCAAACGACGCAATACTACGATGTTGGATTGGGTTATAATCCACTGGGATTCTCTAAAAGTGCTTCCCTAGTTTCTACCACTATTACTTATAATGGAGCAGTGCCAGCCAATTCCAATAACCAGCAAAATTGCCAACCATGCCTTGACACACCTAATGCACCAGTGACTACCAATGTTGTCATTACGTCCACATGGCAGCATTCGGGAACATCGTCAACGACTATAGTAACAACTTTCGGTACTAATACTATTATCGTCGAAGTTCCCACACCCTCTACTACCGTTACTTCGACTTGGAGTGGATCTTCTATAAGCACAACAACAGCAATTGCACCAATAGGTGGCACAAACACTGTGATTGTCGAGGTTCCTACTCCAACTACTACTATTACAAGCACTTGGACTGGTACTGTCACCGAGAGCAC